GTCCACGAGCTGCCATATTTTCCGATCGATGGTTTTCACGTGAACCTGCTCCAGTTCTTGCCGCCAAAAGTAGGGCTCGATCCCCAGGATCTTGTTTGCAAGCAAGATTATCTGAAATTCCGAGAGCCTGTTGTTCCTACAACCCCATATGTGTCTCGGTTGACAAACGCGAAACAAGGCATTCATAAAGCCCGAGTACCAAGATGCCGTGCGACATTTACAAGTACTAAATGTCAAGTCCTCCACCACCACAGGCGGATGGTCTCCGAGAAGATGACTGCAGTCGACAGCACTGCACGGCACATCCAGAGGGCCGCCGTCCATCTCCAGAATCAGAGAAATTTGAGACCCACTTAGTGCCTTGAGCATTCGTCTAAGCTTAAGGAACCATGAATTGGCGTCGAAATCTGGATCATCCTCACATGAAGAAGAGAGGCTTACACATGAGCACCACTCCTTGGAAGTAGTTGTCGCAACAGAGAATGTGTCCGGCACCTGGGAAATAGGGGCTGTGAAATCAAATCTGACAATGTTCGGGGCACAAATCGTAACTCCTTTAACCAATATTTTGCTAGTCGAGATGGTCAAGCACTTGACCGAATCACTTGCAAGATGGAATTCCTCAAAACCGGAGCAATAATATAAGGCCAAGCTCACAAGAGTCGGGCAGCCGAACGATAAAAGGTTGAGCGATTCACTCGACAGGATCACATTACAGAGACTCAAACTCGTAAGACGAGAGAACAAGAATGCTCTTCGGCGGTGAGACCAAATCCATGGGCCCCCGATGGAGACCGTCTCGATATTCAGGACATCGATTTCGATGCTACGCCCTTTGATCATCTCAAAATCACACAATGCAAAGTGCTTGAGCCCAGGCGATGCCGCCTCGCTCACCCTAATGTTTCTCAACCCCCCACATCTTTTAATGACAAGGCGCCTGAGCAAAGGGCAACCCAACATTTTCGTCTCGAAAGTGCGGCCATCAACGTGGACATGTTCGAGGGTGATCGAGCGCAAACTTTCAAACCGCACGCTCTCGACGACTGGGCTCAGCCTGCATTTGCTCAGGTGTAGTTCTTCGAGGGACTCGGCTAAAAACACTGCCGACGGCAGGTCGTAATACGCAGGAGCATATGGAAGAAAGGGATGAGTGGGGGGTGAAAGAAAGTTGAGTTTGAAGACTTTTATGTTGAGGGCCGCTATTTTCGGGATCCATCTACGGAGAAGGGAGACGACCGGTAGTGAAATGGGCTTCGAAAAGTCGAGATGGAGTTTGTTTATGGAGAGCTTTTGATCAGTGTATCCTTGTAGCGTTCGATCGACTACGGAGACGAAGTTTCGTTGTGTACTGTTGAACAATTCTTCGGAAAATTCGAGGTTCGGGCGGGTTGATCCTATGTGGCGCCATTGTTTGGAGAGTAGACAAGTCTTCACAGCTTCTTTTTGTGAGAGGAAACAGAGAATGTGGTGAAGTGTAGGTATTGGCAGTTGGGATATTCTACTCTGTTTCTGCTTAAGAAAGAAAAAAAAAAAGTTTATAGAAACAGTTTGCTATGAGTTTGTTAACAAATCAGTTAGGATGAACGGATTTGAAAATATCCGATAGTTTGTTAAACAGATATGCGTACTCATTGCCGTCTAGATTTGGTACACAATATCTGGGAAATTCTATAGTCTGTTACGGAACCATTCCGTCGAGTTTGTAACCGTTAGATCATCATGTAACCGTCGGGATAGTTGATCTAACAGTTACAAACCCCGACGGAATGATTCCGTAACGGGACCGTAGCATTTCCCTATCTCTAATAAGTGTCAATTTTATTTTT